CCTCATTTCTTCTAGGGTCTTACTTCATTAGTTATCTCTTCTACATGTCTTAAATTTCTCTCTCTGATCTCTTCACTGTAAGAACATTTAAAAGCTCACCCTATGCGGCATGGTGGCACATGCCTGTAATCCCAACTACTCAGCAGGCCTAAGTAGGAAGATTACAAGTTCCAGAGCAGCCTGGGCAACTTAGTGAGACCCAATCTCAAAGAAAAATTTTGAAAAGCATTGGACAAGTAGTTCAGTGGTAGAGAGCTTGCCCAGCATATATGAGGCTCTGGGTTCATTCTCCAGTACCACTAAACAAACAAACAAACAAGCAAACAATATTATCTTGTTCTCCAAAATTTTATTAACCCTCCCACTAGTTTCTAATAAGGTTAAATTAAAGGTTTAATGGAGGTACAATTTAATTGTTTCAAGACAAGTAAAGCTACTATAAAAAGCAGTTCAATAAGCAGGATTAAGGAATAGCAGCTTTGCAATATTATTATTAGGATTAAATTAGATACTATGTTATACATAGTTGGTATAAAACACATATTAGCTTCTCTTTTGTTCCTTGGTGGTGATGTCTAAGCTGTCTTCATGTGCCTGCTAAGTTATGCTTGTGTCTCTATTATTCACCATAGTGTGGATACATGACACCTTACCGTGCATGAACTCAACTACTCACCGAACCTCTTTCACCCCTTGTCCCAACTATTATTTTGTTGGAACTGAGTAGGTCAGTAAGGTGTGGGGTACAGAGAAGCATATGGAGAGAAAGGACTGATTCAAGATGTATTTTATGATCCTGGAAATTATTCGGTAGATAATGATAAAAGTATTTTATTAGAATAAATAATGTAACTTCTGTGTGTCTTTCTTATTTCACCTTCATATAGGAATATAACAGTATATGTAGGATGGATCTGCATATACTCAGTAGTATGAATTGAAGCACCACTGAATTACTTGAATCAAATTAGCTGTTTGGCATGACTTGTTTTTTTTAAAAAATTGAAAGAAAAGAATGTAAGGCCTTGCAAATGAAAGGTCCTGAGTTTGATTCCCAGTATCAAAAAAGAAAGGAAAAAAGAAAGATAAAATCTCAAATAACAGAGCATTAGGACCTGAACTTACAGAATGAGATCAAATAATAACTATATATATTGGCAAACTTCCATTGCAGAAGTCATTAAAAAACTAATTAATGAATGCAAAGTACTTTGAAGGTTTGAAGCTTTGTAACTATCAAAAAGGTGTAAATTGGATAAAGTATTCCAGCACCAGAGTTACATAAGACATAACTAGCAGTTACTTTACCTTAACAACACAATTTCACAATGACCTTCTTAGTGTCATACCAGGTGGCCTGTAATAATTCTGCCAAATTTAACTTATTTGTAAAATCATAGATTTTTAGAACTGCAGGTGATTTGAAATGATGTACATCATTGACCCTAATTATGAAGAAAATAAAGCTGATAAAAGTTTATTTGCCTAATAGCAGAAAGCCACTTTGTAGCAGAGTTGTGGCAAGAACAAAATAATCAGGTCATCTGCTTCTCAGCACAGCCCCTGGATCCTTCAGCTTCAGACTTGACGGAGTCCTTGGAGAGCCACTCTGGAGCAATCCCTGTGATATTCAGCCCCGAGAGTGAGCACCGGATCAAAAGCCAGATGAAGGGACACTGTGATCTTAGCCTCCTTTTCTCACACTCAGATGTATAATTTTCAGGGTGCTGCTGGGCATTTTTCTTGCATCTCCCATGAGATGTAATCCCGACTCACTTTCTGGCGATCATTACTGATATTCTTCAAAAACTAGACAGAAACCAGTGAAAGATTCTGCAGTCACTTTATTCCTTTCCCCAAAGGATACTAAGCAACCCTCTGGCCATTTGTAGGAGACATGGTTCCTTATTACCTCAGCAGTCCAAGTTGTTGTAATTACATATTTTAGGGTTAGGTGCCTAGAATTTTGGCTAACACATGCTGCTATTAGGGCAATACAGTTAAGGACAAAAATCCCCTATCACACCAGAAAACCTCTATACAAAGACAAAAGGAAACAATATTATTATTGAATATGTATTAAACCGGAATTGCAGACAATCTGCTCAGATGATTGTTCAGAAAGATCATGGAAAGCCAGGCGTGGTGGCGCACACCTGTAATTCCAGCACTCGGGAGGCTGAGGCAAGAGGATCGCTGTGAGTTCGAGACCACCCTGGACTACATAGTGAGTTCAGGTCAGTCTGAACTACACAGTGAGACCCTGTCTCAAAAAACCAAAAACAACACAAAAACAAAACAACCCCCCCCAAAAAAAACAGAAAGAAAGATCATGGGCCGAGACTTTACCTTGGTGGTGCTGCCACCTGCCTCGCAAGCATAAGGTCCCAAGTTCAATCTCTGGTACCAAAAAAAAAAAAAAATCAGCCTTCTATATGCCAAGCAGAAAAACATATCCATGTCTTGTGATAAACAATAACATTCAAGGCTTAGCAGAACCTTATGGCCCTTTCATGTGTGTATTTCACAGACAAGGATATTAGACAGAGAAAGTTTATAAGTGACTAAACATTACACATCTAGTGAGATGTATAGATCAGTTTGAGCCCCCCAACAGCCTAACTACTAAGTCTACATCCTAGCAATAAAAAATAAAGTATGGCGTCTAAGAGCATGGAGCCTACAGCCAGGGAAAACTGGGACCAGATTCTCTTTGATTCCATAACCTGGACAATAAAGCCTAACTGCTCTTTGTTTCCACTTCCCAAATGTTGATAATTCACAAAAGCTCGTGAAGATTAATTAAATCTATACATAATATGTTATGACTCTTAAGTTAAACTGTCAACTCTATTGGCGTGAGTGCTCCTTAGGGGCTGTGTACAGCACACTTTGGGTGTGTCCGGGAAGGTCACGCAGATGTGACCTGGGTGCTATATCTGCCCCCATCCCTTTCCTTTCCAGCCCTGTTTCCCTGTTGCCCTTCTAAACTGTCATGAACTAAGCAGCTCAGCCATGAAATTCCTGCCTTTGAGCCTGTAGACCATGGATTGAATCCTCTGAAACCATTAACCAAAAGACCTTCTTGTTTATTTATTTTTTGTTTGAGTTTATGTATTTATTTTTTTGGTACTGGGGATTGAACTCGGGTCTTTGTGCTTGCAAGGCAGGCCACCAAACCGCTGAGCTAAATCCCTGGCCCACTTCTTGTTTATTTGTTTGTTTTTTTGGTTTTTTGAGACAAGGTCTCACTATGTAGTTGAGACTGACCTGGACCTCACTAGTAGACCCGGCTGGTCTCGAACTCACAGCGATCCTCCTGCCTCAGCCTCCTGAGTGCTGAAATTATAAGTGTGTGCCGCCACACCCGGCCTAAAAACTTCTTGTTTAAATTGTGGGTGTCAGATAATTCATTCCAGCAATGGGAAAGCTGACCCATACACGTGGCAAACAGTCTGACACAAAGAATTATGTTGAGAAATACCAGCTTTAAAAGGGCAACCTCTCAAACACTGATTTTAGACCCTATGACTCCTGCTTAATAGGAACAATTCATTGTTTTTGGAACCAGCTGCTTACTTCATGCTCCAGTCTGCTCTTTTGTAGTTCCTGCCAATGTTACAAATTTTCCTGTAAGTTATTTTTATGATAGCATCTTTAGAAAATGGAAATAGTTTCAGGACTTTCTCATTGGACAATGTTAAGGCTTCACTATTATACTGGATATAGGAGAAAGAAAGCAAATAAAAAGATAGCCTCCTTTGCAACTCTCCCCAAATTGAGCTAATATCCCACTATCTACCAGAAGTCTTACCAATGACATAGAAACATATTTTGCATGTGTATGTTACATATAGTGAGAAACAAGAAGGAACTGTGAAAGATCATCTATTACTGTAATATGCAATTTCCTAGAGAAATGAACTGTGCATAAACAGTTTTTATGTTACTTGCAACACCTTGGCTCATCACAATAGCAACAGACAGTAGCTATGACATATCAAAGCAGTATAGGGTGTACTACAGTTAATTTTAAATAGTTATGATTTAGCTCTTCATTTTAACCTTTGTTTACATTTCTCTTGAGTGAAAATGACTATATGTATATAATCTGTGCACTTCGAGTTTGGTAAATTTTAACTTTTAAAATAGATCGGGTCTATTTTATAGTGGTAAACGATAAAATAGACTTACCTAGATATGTTTTATATATACATGATGTATGGGGTTTTTATTTATATGTATATTTCTAGGCTAAATGGTTTGCCACATTTTTTCAAGTTTTCTCGCCTCAGGTGGAGGAAGGGGGAGCTTACAGAAAAGTTTATAAGCTGATTTGCGCAGTTCAAAGCCCTTTCCTCAAGGGCGAACAATACTAAAGGCCTGTGATTGCTTTTTAGGTGTGCCTTAGTCTATTTGTGAGAAAAGCAAAAGCCGTGCAGTGCAAGATACACAGCGTTTCCGCGAAGCGGACGGTGTGTCCTGCGAAACTTCAACTGTTTGGGCCTTCGGAAAAGAGAGGCCCTGTTTTAAACCACAGAAATTACATAAGGTGATTTAGCGCCACATCGACTGTGAAATTTAAATATGCAATTAAAGAATAAACATAAGACACTGGGAAAAAACGTATTGGCACTCCGCGTGGCTTCTTATGCAAACTCTTGCAGAGCCCCCGGGTCTGTGCAACCACACAAGCACACGTCACTGCCAACCCCCCGCCCACGCCCCTTTGCAAAACACTCTGGGCCTAGAGCAAGCAGAAATCCGTCAGGGACGCCAAGCGAGGTAGCCCCCTACCACGCCCGGGTTGCCGGTCCGCAGCTTCCCTTCGCTGGTCCCGCCCCGGATCTGTGCGCTCCGGGTCCGCCCCGCGCGCTGCATTCCGGACTGACCAGCAGACAACATGGCTAGGCTGGGCAGTGTGCTTTTTGCCCGGGCGTCCCAGCTGCTCTGCGGCTTCGGTCCTCGGCGGGTAAGGCGGCGCCGGAGGATCGGAGGGTGCGGCTACTCCCCTGCCAGTGCCTGCCTCCGAGGTCGAAGACCAAGGTCCCAGTGCTCGGAGAGGCGCGCGCCAGGACTGCGCGTCCTAAGCGCCAGGAGAGAGGGCTGGGATTCTCGGGGTGCTAGGAGGAGAGCAGTCTGGGCTTCCGGGGGTCCCAGCAGCGAGGGCCGGCGGTCCCAGAACGCAGGGAGGCGCGAGCAAGGACGGGGCACCTAGTCTCCGGGGCTGGGACAATCCGGGGAGAGGAGAAGCAGCAGAGGTCATATTCCCTAGTCAGAGGTAGGTCTGTTGTTGTAGAGGGTTAAGGAGACATGGACTTTTCTAAGTTAGAGGTCTCAGAGTCGTGTGCACATTAGGTAAGGAAGGATAGAGTGTAGCTCTAGGAGAGGTCACGGTTGGGAGTGGGTCCCAGAGCGAACGCTGGTCGTATACGAAGCCCTTTTTGTTGAGGAACATCCTTCTACGGTAGCAGATGTTGGTTGTGCAATCAGTCATTAGTACAGACTATCAGAAGTAGAAAAAAAGAAAAGACGAACCTTCAGTAAAGAAGTTTTGTTTGGGAAGAAACAAAGAACAGGATTGCAATCCAAACACAAGCTCTGGTATGACTGGCGGACAAAGGAGTTTCGCTACCACAGATACGTATATCTGCAGGGTTTTTTGAGGAAAGGTCAATGGCATTTAACCTGCTTTTAACAGCTGGCAAAGCTCGGATTGGCAGCAAAGCAGTAAGGTCATAGTTCTGTAGTTAGTTGCTGACAAACTACAGTCTTAAAGATATGGTAGGTTTTCCCCTTAGATTGCTTCTATGCTAAAGTTCCTTTAAAAAAAAAAAAGTACCTGGAGTAGGCAGGCCAGAGCAGAGTTCCCTTTCTTACCCCTGGTTCCTTTACTTAATTTTAGTGGGATTTGACAAGGAATTACTTCATTAGTTTAATGAATTTTCAACAAAAAATTCACATAAAAATTAACTCAAAAATCAAAACCTGAGCTGTCTGTAGACTCCCCATTTCAGAGGTAAAACTGGGAGAGATGCATCTGAAGTCTCCCACCTCTGTGTCCCTCTGACTTCTTTGTTGTGTCAACATTTCTCCGTTGGACCTATAATGAACATCACATGCACAGATGAAAAGAACCAGGAATAGGAAAAGAAACGAGAAAGGTAAAAGAAGCAATGATATCCAAGACAGGTTCTACCCCCAGCTAAATTTGAGCACCTTAAACTTCTATCAAAAATTCTTTAGTCAAGTAGAAAAGTTAACTAGCAATTAAAACCTTTTTTTTAGTTTTTTTTTTTTATAAATCATTAGGATTATGGTAGTAAGGTCACACAGACCACATCATAGTTTCTGATACTATTAGTCAATATAGTTTGAGAAGAGAAAAATAAGTCACTTAAAGATTGATTGTAATCTGGTAATTCTGAAATTTCTTTAAGAAAAATATAAATTTAGAGGACTGGTTTTTGAGGCGAGTATGGCACCTGTCAGTGTGGTTTGTCCTCTTCCTGGCACATGGTGGATGGATTTTGAATTCCCGAAAGAAGAAAAGTCTTAGCATCTGTGAACTGGAAGGCTGTTCTGGGAACGTCATGCTTTTGAAGGCAAATACAAGTTATAATTAGAATGCCTCGTTTGAATATTTTTGTTGCCATAACCAAAAGAAATGTTTCATTATAAAACTTATTTGTAAGGGCTGGGGATTTAGCTCAGTGGTGCCACCGCCTGCCTCGAAAGCTCAGAGTCCCAGGTTCAGTCCCCAGTACCGCAAAAAAAAAAAAAAAAAAAAAAAAAAAAGTGAAATGCTATATTAAGTTTTGCTATTAGCTAGCAGGTCTCAGTTCAATAAACATGTATTAAGAAGTAGCTCTAAGCCTGGCTCTGTGCTATGTCCTGGGAATGTAAAAATTCAAAAAGAAACAAGCCCTGGTCTTGGGGATCAAACTTAGAACCTTGTGCTTGTGAGGCAAGCGGCAGAATCACTGAGCTAAAACCCTGTTTTTAATTGCTTCTGATTCCCCTGAGCATAACATCCAACCCTTCAGTTGTCTATCAAGAATTGGTAATTTTAAGTTCCTATAAAGTATTGGTGTTCTTTGGAGATGATCATGGTTGAAAAGACATCCATACCTTCAGTTCAGTAAGTTCATGTTTCTGAAACTATGGATAATTGCACAAGAGTAGGCCTTAAAATAAATTTAGTAGAGCAAAATAGGTTGTAAAAAAATAAATTGGAATAAAATGGGAAACAATTCATTTCGTGTGATAAGGTTAAGTAAGTTGATTTTGTGGCATTTTAAATTTTTACTAGTGCATGCTTGCAGTAAGTAATGATTGCATTTATCATGGGGAGTTGGTACCTGTACATAAGACATTAATTCTTTTTACTTCTTCCCCTTCCCTCCTTACTCCCTCCATCTCTTGATCGCCTTCTCACTTAAAAGATGTAGCTCCCTGTTTCCTGTTATCTTTTATTTTGCTCTTTACATTACTTGTACTTTAGGTTTCTCATATGAGATAAACCATGTGATATTTAAACTTGTGTGTCTGATTTATTTCGCTGAACATGGTCTCAAGGTACATCCATTTTTCTACAAATGGATCAAGTTTACCTTCCTTTATAGGAGAGTAGTGCTACATTGTGCATATATTCCCACATTTTCTTCATACATTCATCTGTTGATGCATATCTAGACTGCTTCCAAGATTTAGCTATTATGAATTGTGCTGCTATAAACATGGGTTTGCATGTATCACTATAATGCAATGACTTTAATTCTAGATAAAGAGGAAAAACTTGAATGGAATTTCTATTTTTACTTTTGGGATGCATCTCCAAACTGATTTCCACAGAGGTTGTACTAGTTTACCTTTCCATCAACAATTTAGAAGGGGTTCTTTTTCCCTGTAGGCTTGTCAGCATTTATTTTGTTACTATTTGATTTTTTTTTTTTTAAACCGGGGATTGGGCTCCGGACCTTGTGCTTGTCAGGCGGGCATGGCAAAACTGAGCTAAATCTCCACCAACTTTTTGATTTCTTTTTGGAATAAGATGGAATCTCTGTTGTTTTAATTGCATTTCTCTAATGGCCAGATATGCTGAACATTTTTTCATGCACTTATTGGTCTTCTGTACTTCTAAGAAGTGTCTATTTCATTTACCCACTTTTTGGTTAGGTCTTCTATTTTTTGAGGTCTCATATTTTTAATTCTTTATATATTCTAAATACTAGTCCTTTATCCAAGGAGTAGCTTCCAAACCTTTTTTCTCTAGGTTGTCTCTTCACTCTGTTGGTTGTTCCCTTTGCTGTGTAGCTTTTTAGGTTGATACATTCTCATTTGTTGATTCTTTATATTATTTTTTGTACTACTGAGATTTTGCTCAGAAAGTCATTACCTATGTCTGTGTCAAGATTTTAACCTATTTTATCTTCCAGCAGATTAAGTATTTGTTTTAATATTTATTCTTTGATCCATTTTGATTTTAGTTTAATAAATGGTGAGACATATGGTTGTAGATTTAGTCTTTTGCATGTGTAGTTTTCCTATCTTTCCTCCAGAATATGTTTTTGGCCCCTTTGTCAAAGATAAGATGGCTAAAAGGAAATAAGGGAAAAGAAGAAAAATATCAGAAAATGAAAAAATGGAAATAAAGTATTTGTAAATGGGGAAGGCAGGAGGGAGTGAAGGGAGGGCAGAGGTAAGGGGAAAAAATGAGAACCAAGACCTGTCATGTAACGGTACAAGATCCCAATGATGAATGTAACTGTACTGTATACCTAAAATGTACCAATAAACTCAATGGGGAAAAAAAAGATAAGATGGCGGAATGTGCCTGGAGTTATTATAGCATACTCAATTGTTCTATTGATTAACATACCTGTTTTTATGTCACTACCCTCCTGTTTTTTAAATCACTATTGCTTTGTAGTATAACTTGAAATCCAGGATTATGACACCTCCTGGTTTACTCTTGTTACCCAGGATTACTTTTGCTATTCTATGTCTCTTCTGGTTCCATATAAAATTTAGGTTGGTTTTCTATGTTTTTCTGAGAAACTCCTTTGGTGTTTTGATTGGGATTGCATTAAATCTATATACCAGGATCTTGTCGTCTTCCTGATTTTGGAGGAAACATTTTCAGTTTTTTCCCATTTAGTTTGATTTAATATGATGCTGGCAGTAGGTTTGTCATAAATGGAGTTTACCAGGCCCCCAAAGTAAACTCGACTTAAAGAATGGCATGTAGCAAGAAGTGAAGGAGCACGGCTTCTTTCTAAAAGCTCAGTGACTCGGTGTTGTGGAGTTTGTGAAGTATGAGGGCAGAAAAAGGTGCATGAAAAATGACACTGGTCTGGTTTCTGGGTCCTCATGGTGGACTTCATTTACTGATGTGGCATGTTGAGCATTTGCTATGTGCTAGGCACTGGACTGAGGGTGCGAAGGTGATAAGAATTGCTCATTGTTGCCCTCAAGAAGGTTACAGCCTAGTAATAGTATGGTGTTATTATAGGAGGTATATTAAGATGGGTTTTCATGACCTTGGAGGGAGTCCAAAATAAATAGCATCTCTTTTTTCCATCCTGAAAAACAAGAGTAAAGATGGAGTCTAAAACATCACTGTTTTTAGGACTTGTTCTGAGAGCCACTTGAGTCTTAAAATAACTGGACTTTCTGAATTTGGTAGACTTATGGCCTTACAAAGAGGTTGGGCCATTGCTCTCTGCAGGCAGCTAGTTCCTAAGAAGATTAGGTCTAAGAAAGTCTCCTGAGGTTTGATGATTCTACTAGGTTTTACCAGATAGACCATCTCTATGGGGACAGGGTGACTAAGGGGGCAGAAAGAAGGCTAGCATTGCATAACGGAACGGAGCTCCCTACAGCAGCACTGGAAGAAAAAAGCATTTTCTCTCCTTCATACCACCTTTTCCCCATTTAATTTTATGGCACTGTGTGTGTGTGTGTGTGTGTGTGTGTGTGTGTGTGTGTGTATCTAAGCAGAGACCTAAATTAAGAAAAGTAGAAGTTAGCCAGGGGGAAAGCTGTAACAAAGTGTAAGAAAGTTCAAGACAAGAAAGTGGTTTATGTGAAAGACAGGAATAGAGGTTATTGGTTGAGTGTGGAAGCAAGGACTTGGAAACAAGATAATGAACAGGTAGTGGGCCAAAAAGAGTTAAGAGGTTTATCTCAAAGGCACAGGAGTGGAGATAAGAATGTAGACAAAGGGTTAAATCTTGGGTGATTCTCCAGATGAAAGATAGTATGGGCTCAACTAAGGAA